TGTGTAATGTAGTTTGAGCACTTGTAACCCAAACTACTTGTATTTTCTATTTTGATTAGTTTGAGCACTTGAAACCCAAACTAACCGATGCGAGAAAGTAAGAAAGTTATAATTGATTTTTCTTTTCCTTCTGAACTTTATTAACATTATTTCTTATATTTATACAAAATTATTTTATTAACAAGCTATTAAATTATGCATTAATTGACAATAAATATTAATGCATAATTCACAAATAAATAAATTTGCCTACGCTGTGCTGACATAATTATAGGCCAACATATTACACACTTTCTTCAGTGCATTGACCAACAAGAAAAGCTGATAATGCAAAATTGCACTTTTTGTTGGTCAATGACTGGTCGCAGTGTTGGCCCAAATAATATGTAAACACATGTAACCAAATATCATAAAAAATAAAAATATAAAATAATATGAATTAAATGCAAACATAAACAAAGGGGAAGGAGTTACGGCTAACTAGCGGGGGTTGAATCAACAGTATACTTTGTGACTAGGGTCACGAAAGCCGCGGTTATATAAGGGAATAGTGGAGAGGTTATAGTCCACTTCATCGAAGTAGTGTGTTAGGTATTGGGGGGGCTTATATCGCAAAGCTAGTACAAGGTCTTCTGAAAGAGTGAGAGGAGTAGAGACGTCGGGGGGAAGGTCATGGAGCCGGGTGAGATACCTACGGGCGAGTGACAGAAGATACTCGTCAACACGAGTGATCTTGGCATTGTTGTAGAGAGTTGTTATGGAGACGTGCTTGCCATTACGCTTGCGCTTGCAGTTAGTGCAATCGCGAAGAAGTTTCCGCTCAAACAGGCGGATTCTTTCCATTTGAGCGGAAGTGATGGCTGACCAAATAGGGAAAGCGTAAGTGAGGAGAGGAGGAATAAGCTGCTTATAGCAGAGCAGCTTAACTTTGCAGTTAAGCTGGTTATGCCTTCGAAGTGCAGTTATTAAGCCTGAGCTTAATATTAGAAGTGCTAAAACCTCTGGAACGATCACGCTGCTGGCCAGTAAAGGCAATGGCAGAGATCTTAGAGGGATTGAGTTTAATCTTCCACCTGGTATAGTAGTCAAAAAGAGATTTAAGGTGGGCATTAAGCTCATTGGAGACGCGGTAAGGATTAGACGATCGCATGAAGACAAGGCAGTTGTCTGCGAAGCAGATTTGCTTAATAGGGGTCCGCGGAAGCGGGATGTCTGCTATAAACAGGTTGAAAAGGAGAGGTCCAAAAACCGAGCCCTGAGGGACGCCGGCGTCGATGGGGAAGTTACGAGACAGAGAGGAACCGACTCGAACCTGAAAGGTTCTGTTGGAAAGAAATTTGTTGACTATACTGCAGAGCGTAGGAGAGAAGCCGAACTGGTGAAGCTTAAGAATTAAGCCTTGAAACCAGACAGTATCAAAGGCTTTTTCAACGTCAAGACTTAGTGCCACAGTGGGCTGCTTATTGAAAGAGCCTACGCATATCTCATTTTGGAGATGATGCAGAGCATGGACGGTGGAGATTTGGCTCCTAAAGCCGAACTGGAAAGGGGGAATAATGTTATTCCCAGAGGAGGACTTCAGCTTGCTTGCTATGAAAGTTTCATAGAGCTTACTGACAGAGTTAAGAAGAGAAATAGGACGATAGCCGAAGGGGTCAGCTTTGGGTTTGCCACTTTGGGCAATGGGACAAACTACGGTCTTCCTCCATGGCTGGGGGAAGGAACCAGTGTTGTACGCATGGTTGAAGAGCATGGCGCACTTTTTAAAAAAGAGTGGTGAGAAACGCCTCATGGCGTAGAAAGACACGCAGTCAGTGCCAGATGACTTTTTGGGCCACAACAAATACCAATTTCACGAAAAGTATTTATATTTGCCATATACTATAAAAATATATAACTTTCTATCTTTGCTCTCGTCCTATTGTGACCACCACTGTTATTTTGTATTTGCTGATTGGAATTTATTAACAAATCTATTGAAATATAAAATATAATTAATAAATAGCAATTGTATTTTTTATGTGCAAATACCATTCAAATAATTAGTAGTACATCTTTAAAGTCTAAAGTTTTTCCTAAAATCTTCAACGGAAAAATTATTGATCGATTCTACAAAATTTCCACTATATCCATGCTGATGCACTTCATCCCCTGAGCTTATTACACTTGAACTAGTGTTTAAGAAGGGAATGGAAGAGTCAGTTTCATTTTCACTCGATGATTCTAATAAAATCTGCAATTTCAATTTATATCATACAAAATTAAATTTAAGTTTTAAAGCAAATGCTTAATAAAAACTTACATTAAATGTACAGTTCAGACATTTCAACAGATTTAATTTTTTTTATTTTTTAGATTTTTTATATTCAACATTTTCTCACTTATTATTTTAGCCCCAAAATTATTCACACAAATCAAAACAAAACTCATGCGTTGCCAATTATTTTCATACGTGATCCATAACGTTTCAACAAAGATGATACCGATCATTGTTTGCTGAAACGCAGCTATTGTTACTTAATTTTTTTCTGAATTCTATTAACAATTCGTCTTTCAAATTTTTCCAATTTGCCAATCTGAATAAATATCATCTCCACTAAATGAATTCATAGAATTTTCAATATTAGTAGATGTAAAAAAATTAGCTCCTGACAAACTTGCATTACTTGGAAACATACGCTCATTCTTGTGTATGTATGTTTCGTTCAACTGTTGCGTTAAGCGACTTGGTGTGTCATATAGAAGAGTGTCATCTGCATCGTCTACTTTGTATATTTGGCGTTTCGGTAAATTCGGCAGCGTTGCTTGCTTGCTGTTTTTTAACACTTCTTTTTCTTATTCGTATTCGTCTTCTATTTTTGTTTTAAAATTGATTTATTGAAATATTCAAATAATCGCGAACGACATCTAAACGACTTTATTTCTGCAATTTAATATGCACTTAAATCAAAATTAAAATCAATTTCAATTGCTTATTTTTTCTTTTTTACTTTGCGACTTTATTTAATTTTCAACTTTTAATTTGGCTATGCTTTGGTTGAGCTCCCAAAATTGTAGAGTAAGTTAAACGCGTTGTTAATCATTCTAAGAATTAAACTATATATTAACTTTATTTATTTCTTCTTTGTTATAAGAGGTATCACTTGTTTGAGAGCAATTACAAATATAGGTATGCTACTTTAATATAGTTTATATAATATACTAAGCGTAGGTTGTTGTGAAAATAATAAAAAAACATTAAACTTAAAACATTGAATTTTTATATATATATATATATATATATATATAACTTTATTGTAGTTTATTAAAGTTTTGACTTCAAATAACCCAATAGCCAGTACTGCGGTCAGAAGAGTCCTATTGTACCAATTTCACTATTGATCGCACAAAGCCTTTTAAAGCTCTGTGAACAAAGTCTAGAACTAAATCTAGAGAAGAACTCTTAAACTGTGTTAGCTTATCAGCTAAAACTTCCGTATCTTAACTTCCATATGTATATAAATTTGTGAATAACGGTCACGATAACGCAAGTATTGAATTGAATAGCAATAATGAAATAAGTGGAGACTTATCTGTTGATGAAGTAAAAAATTTTGTTAACGGACGATATGTAGGGCCCACCAATTGTGATTGGTTCCGAAGTATCAACAGTAGTTGTTAGACATAAAAGAATCGTGATTCCACGATTAACATTTTCTAGAACAATTTACTAATTTCAACTCCATCTTAACAAATCCCAGGGACAAATATTAAATATTTTGCATGGAACATTAATTTAAATACTTTTGACGTTTTTGTTATATGTAAGTTTTTTTTATTACGTCACAATAATCTAATAAAGTTATCAATGTAATTTTCATGTGCCATATGATAATTAAGATTTTTATTTTTTGATTTCGTTTTTGACATATACATATGTATTTAATTATATACGTATAGAATAAAAGTCTGTTTACCCACAAAATTTTAGTCTTTAATTTTTACTCAAATTGATTTTTGTTTTCAGATTTATTTTAACCAAAGTAGTTGAAAAAAGTATGTCCTGATAATGTGCAGAAAATTTTGAAGAAATAAAGTATTATACATTGATTGCAAGAAAGAAGTCGTACATGCAAATAAATCTAGATTTCTGGAAAATAGTTATTTTCTCTGATGAAAGTAAATTCTGTATATTTAGAATCAAAGATAGAAAACTTGTGTATAACAAGTAATTGTACAGGTAAACTAGAATTTATACAAGACACAATGGAAAATTTGGTATCTAAATATACCAAAAACCAATTTGAAAGAAAATGGAAGAATGCTGTACACGCTCTCACGCAACTTCAAACACTAACACAATCACCAAACTTTAATCCCATAGAATATCTGTGGGATTATTTGGAAAATAAGATTCGCCAGCACGCGATTTTCAGCAAGGATGTGTTAAGAAACGTCATCAAAGAAGAATGGCAAAAAATAAACACATTAAATACTGTAAAGTTGGTTGAGTCCATGCAAAGGCGTCTAAAAGAAGTTATTTAACGCAAAGGTTATTCCACAGATTATTAAATTATAGATTTCTGTGAATTTTACTTTTTTTAATTTAAATATTAAGTGCCCGTAGACTTTTTCTGTTTCAAAAATTGTTGCTTTTGTATGAGTTGAATTACAACCACTGGCAGAATACTAGTATAAGTAATTTTGTAAATTAATAAGTAGTTTTTGTAAGTTTTAATAGTTGTAACTTTTAAGTTTAAAGAATTTGGATACATAAGAAATTGTATAAAAAAATTATAAATTTGTAATGTATTAGATTTACTCCGATTAAGTTAAAATATATGTAACAAAGCAACTTCTTAATACTGCAATTTCAATTTAGCGTTCGTTTTCCTACGTTACTAACATAATATACATAATAATAAAATAGTAGTAATAATAATAGTAATAACAATAATAATAATAACAATAATAGTAATATTACTAATATTAATAATATAAAATAAATGGAACAAATGATAAATGGTGCAAGCTCTTACATTTTATTTTGTATTAATGTCAAATATTAATTTTGTGGTTATTTTGATGTCTACGTTTTCTATGTTGCCTACGTTGATCACAGTTTTTTTTATCAACAATATGGAACACACTACAAAATATGATATAAACAAATACAATGTATTTACACTTGTAATTATTTGTACAGCTTATAAGGGATCATTTACATAGCGTCATAATGAAAACGATGCGCTTCCTGGAGCTTTTCTAGTTTGTCTTCCCTTTTTTCTTTGATATATAATATTAAAATAATAAAAATTATTACTAAACAAGTTCCTCCAAGTGCAACGACGCTCATAAGAATTAGTTTACTAGGTGTGACAAACAATTGTGCTTTCCAGCATTGTGGTTCGTCAACTGGCTTTGGTACAACAATTATTTGCGAATTTGGAATGAGTTGAGTCCATGTACGTGATTTACTAATTAAACCAACAGTTAATGAATCAATAAAATTTGAAGTACGCCCTAACCCAAATATGGTGTAAGGTAATTGCAACGCGAAGTAAGATGATTGAGGCAATTGTACACTGGATCCATATTGCAACTCACCATCCTGTGTTGTTGTTGTATATATTATACGAGGACCAGGTAAATTTGTACCATAAGTCCGTTTTCTTCGTCCAAGTGGAGTTTGAAATGTTGAATACTTTTTGTTTATGAGCCCCGTCAAAACAATGACTTTTACGAAATTGGCGTCATAGTCAAGTGTATTGCGAAAAGCTAGTGGGCGATACTCACCATTTCTTTTCTTCTCAATAAGTATTACATCAAGCACACCTACAAATTGTTAAACAAAAATTTAAATAGTCTTTAAAAAAAGAGAAAATATACCATCTTGATAAAAATCGTAAAAGGTTCCAGCTACAACATCAGTTGCCATATCCTGAAAGTAGTTCCATCTAACTTCAAAAGTTCTTTTTAATGGCTTGTTACATATTTTACAGGGTATGTTTTCTAATAGAAAGGTTTGCCTGCGTTTCATTTCTCCCAAAGTTTGAAGTGTTATAAGTAAATCAGGATATCCATCCATATTAAAATCACCAGAACGTGGTGTTATTGTTTTTAAATACATATCATTTGGATCTGGGTATACAAAAGCCCACTGAATGCCTTGAGCATCTCTAAAATTTACATGAACATCTCTAAAGCTTTTCCCGTCGTGTACTAAAATTGTTGAATTACTACATGTTTTAGCAAAACACACAGGTAAAATTATATTTTCTGTTCCAGACAGTTCGAAATCAGCAAATGTTGCTTGACCAATGGTATAATCTGATACGCCAATAATGTTGAAGTCAATTGTGTAGTTAAAAGTAAAGTCCTGAGAGTCATCTGCACGTCCTAGCCAAATTTCATAATAGTCCTTTGTTTGAACAAATAAATCAGCAATAAAATCTGAGTTCATATCGATATATGCATTGGCGTTTGGAAACAGAATTTGTAAATGCGCTCCAGTGGGATTTGCTTGATGAATTTTAGTTGGTAGTAGTCGTGTTTTATTAAAAATCCAAAACGATCTCTGATCAAATTCATCAATCCCATATAAATCAATAATCATATCGCGATTATAGTCTAATACAATTGGTTCTCCTTTGGTTTTCAGGATTTGTGTTTCATTGCAATTAATTCCATCATTACCACCCCAATTTATATAAATATCATATTCCTCAGAAGTACTACCCGGAAATCGTGTCGTAATTAGAATATCCATTAAAGCATCTCCATCAAAATCTCCGGGTACGACACTGGTAATTTCTCTATTAAGGTAAGTACAAAAAGGTCCTGGTACCAGCAAAGGCTCAGTATCCGCCCCTTGAAATAATTTTATTTGTTGGATTGAATTTTGCAATTAATTAAGCTAAACCTACCATATAATATTTGAAATGTAGTTTTCTGATTTTTAATAAGAAACACATCGGTTAATTCATCCGAATTGAAATCACCAAACGCAGCTACAATGCCTTCTTTGATGTTGCCAAATACTTCATTAGTTATATCGTTACAATGGTTTTCAACTATTAGCGCAATTAAGCACACTGTGTAGAACACCACATATTTCATTTTCTAGTATTTCTATAAATATACTTAAAAATACATTCATTAGGAAAACACAAACCCGATATACAATTTAAACCTTGTAATCGATTTTACTAAATGTACTTTACATGGTCATTCTGTATCATCAATCAACATGTACACGCTGCGTGGCAGCATACAAAGCAGCGGTTACATTGCATGAGAATTTGGTCCTGCGTGTACGTGCGTATATTTTTTCGTGCGAACATGTCGCATGTTATGGTTACATTGGGGGCGAACTGATAATTCCGTTTTGTTTGTTTAAAAACAACATTGAATTTAATAACAACAGTTATTAATATTAATCATTATTAATTTCAAATAACATAAGATGAATTTGTGCATGACATTTATTCAGTAATATATAAAAATTGGGAGTTTGCCTGTTCCTTAACCAAAGAAATTAGCAAATTGCAATCCATTTCCAAAAAGTGATTCCAAGGTTACTGATTATCGACATTTGGCAATATTCGAAACAGATGTATGGTAAGCCAAAAATTCAATGAATTAAAATAATATATAAAAAAGAAATTTTGCAGTTGTAGTTCACTACTTTTTGAAACTTCTCTACCAAAATACAATAATAGAAACGTTCAATTACTACTAAAATAAAATTAAAATTAAATAAAACCAATAGACACTTCCCAATTTCACTATTTTCACCTTCGATGAACTAATGAATTTCAAAGAAAATATTTTATTTCATCAAATGTTTGTATGAGAAAGACAAACGTAGCGGGAATAATTCTCAGCAACTGTAGCCACTCACACTTGATTAAGTATGTAGAGGTTGTTATAGTTACTTTATTTACAACTGTCTTAAACTTATTTAAATATTACAAATTATTCTCATTAATACTTCTTCCAATAATAATAATGGCGGGAGATGCGACCGTTGGAACTCTTTTTTTCTTTTTTCTTTTTGACAGTTTTATAATAATCTCTTTGGTGTTGCCACAGTACATTTGATATGTTCGTACGAACACGTAAGACAAAATTCGCATGCAATGCAATGAAAGCCTAATTGGTAGCAATATGCATTAAAATAGCGTCGATAAGTTCAAAATATATAACAAACCTTTATTATTATATAAAATTTAACGAGGCAAAAAGGATTTTTAAGAAGAAAATTTGAGTAGCATGCACTAATTTATTAATAACTTTTAAACTATAGAAGCCATTTTTTTTATATAGCTCAGTTGAAGAGGATAATGATTCAATTATTGTATAAATATATTTCAGTTGTTCGATGACGGTAGGAAACTTCAAGCATTCATGTGATATGTACATATCTACAACTTGTTTGATTAACTGAAGAGCTATTGACTGTTGAAGTTCAGAAATTATTATTTTTTTATCTTATAAAAACATATATCAAGGGGGTTATTTCTCAATTGTGTAAAATAAAGTGTACATAAATATAAGTTCGTTTGTCATTTCAACAGCTGATTTTTCAACATGCCTGTTGATTTCATTTGTCGCCAGTGCCAAAAAAATGTTGCATGAAGGTTAAATATGTCTTCAAACTTTACAATATAAACTTTAAACATATTTTTAACTTCGATTAATTACTTTTTGGGAAGTAGAAGTTCTAAAAAAAGGTGCATCGTTATCAAGAAAATGCAACCACCAAACATTTGTTTACTTTTTTTTTGTAAATATGTCAAAAGCAGCTTTCTCAAAGTGTCAAGATGCATGAAGGGCTTTTATTTAGGGTATGTTCAATGTATTCCTTTGCATTTGGAACATATTTGGAACGCATGCGAACGTAGTTGGGACGCATTCATACAGAATGTGATGGCTCATTCTTACATATAAAATTTCAAACGCGAATAAACCTTTTTATTTTCGATTTTTGACCAAAACGAGCCATTTTCGGCTAGTGTAAATGCCGCACTACATTTCGGTTTTGCTATTCCTGGGGGTCGATTTCGCAACTGTGAAAATAATGTTGTGTACACGAAAACAAAAAACTCATTTCTCACCGCAGTTTACATTTTCTTGTAAAATGGTAATCCCCAAGTGCTAGTTAGTTTTTCGCAAACAAATAATAAAAAAAGTAAATGTTATTTATACCGAAATCAGTGAAGCAAGCAAGAATTTAGTTTTTCGTGCTGAATGTAAAATTATGACGTGCATTTTTGACAGTTGTCAGTCAAGAAATTTGTATTTACACTGAATAAACTCAGTTATTGAAAATAAATAAGTAAACAAAATGGCAAACATATTACTAATTATAATGCAATTTTATAATAATTATTATATTAAAAGCTTTTATTTTATATTTTTATGATTTTTTTATAGTTCTTAATACATAAGTTTCAAAATTTCGTTATCGTCAGAAAATTTGATATTGATATTTAAGTACAAACTTTTGCTCCTTTTGCTTGCTTTTTACATTTTTCCATTTTTAAAACTTATAAAAAATAATAATACAAGTTTATATTTAATTTTATATAAAAATTCCTGTGATTTTTTAAAAACTACGGCCAAATTTACAATAAAATTTGACAAAAGTGTACATTTTTTGACAGATAAACTCACTATTCACAGTTGAGCAATAGCAAAATCAAAATGTTAGCAAATTTTTATGTATACTTCAGTTTGCACAGTTGCGGAATAGACTCCCTGAATTGTGAATAGTGAATTTTTCTGTCAAAAAATGCACACTTTTGTTAAATTTTATTCACTGTAAGTTTGGCTGTGAGCTTTTAAAAAACAAAGGAAATTTCGGGCAAAATTAAATATAGCAAAAGTTTGTGTTGTCTAGTAAGATGGTTTTCCGGTTAACAGTTAGGCATGTAAGGCATATGCCAGAGGTTTGACGAGAAGGGTTGTTGTGTCAGCCCAGATGGTTTATTGTAGTACTTAAGTGCCCTGCATGACATGGTGGCAAGCCCGGTATGCTCGCCGGTTTAGGGGTGGGGTTCTTGGCTACTCAAATCCTACTGCTGACATCGAACAAAAAAAAAACATGTCATGACTTACTTCCATCCATTTCAGTAACTAAGCAAATAAACTATATCTTCAATTCAATGCTTAATTATATCCTCTTCATAGGTATATATACATATACTCCTCTATTCACTTACTATAACTAGGTAGATTAATAACTATAACTAAAACTAATATATATCTTTCAATTTCAAAACTTGAATATATAATCCTAATTCTTTATAATTCATTTTTTTTCTTTTTTTTTCTTTTTTTTTTCTTTTTTTCTTCTTCTTTTCTTTCCTTTTTGTTTCAATTTAACTCAATTGAACTATCCATCAACTCATACTACTGACTAAAAAAAAAACAACAGACAATACCTAACCAACCAGACATAATGCTTTTTTTTTTTTATTTAAAAAAGCATTCATCGTAGAAGATAGGCATTGTTTTTTTCCATTTGAAATTATTACACAGGCCGCAGGTGTGTCATTATTGGGAAAACGTCCGGTTTCTCCAGGACTCACTTCCAGAGCACGCATCATTTGTATCATTTCTTTCACAATGCAGTGATGTTCCTCATAGCTAACTTGCGGCATTGGTCCCTCAAGACATTCATTGACAGTAGCCATACTTCTATATTGATCAATACGCACGTCCGTGGCTTCTCTTTACTTAACTGATTTTATTTTTGCTAGGCCCCCTTGATCTACCTGAAACACACCTCTAGAGCTAACGATTGGAGTCTAAATCATAATTACGCTATTGCTACAAGCCGAATAAAGCTCCACTCACATAAGAATAAATTAATGTGTTTAAATGTAATCAAAAACAAAAATTTTATGGTTTTAATTTAAATCTTTCTTTTTTTTTTTTTTTTATTTATCTGTTTATTATAAAGAAAAAAAAAATATATATATACTGACAAATGAAATAAAATTTATTTACATATCATAAAAAAACTAATATTTTTGAACCATCATCTATTTTTACATACCTATATGTATACTTATAAATATAATTGAAATAAAGTACATATCTAAATCAAATTTAAATAAAACATTTCTAATGCACATCAATCTCTTAAATATCAACCTGCGTTTATTATTTTATTATTGAGTTTATACCAGGTACTTACTAGCCCTGCTGAAATGACGTCACCTCGCGTGCTCCAGTTACCTAGCTGCATAAAAAAAATTAAATAAAGAGAGTTTATGTAAACACATGAATCCGTGTCTATATTGCAAAGCAACTATTGATGTGCTAAAGAGATTTTATGTCGTTTGAAAAATTTATGTTCACAATAACAAACTTAATTTATGTATTTATTATTCATGTATTAATTAAAAAAATAAGAAAATTCAAAAAAACTAAAAATAATAAAGAAACTAAAGATACAAAAACTGATTTTTTTTCTTTTCAAAATTCACCATAAATATTATTGCTTTGTAATGTAATAGAAAAAAAATCCAAAAAAATTAAAAGAAAATACAGATATAAAAAAAAATTAATGATTTTACAAGAAAAACTTAAGTTAAAATAGATATAATTCCATATTTTGATATAATTTCTTCTTCTTTTTTTTTTTAATAATAATTTATAAAATAACAGCGAATTTTACAATCTGCGACCTCAATGTATTCCCAATAGAACTGATACTGAAATACCTGCTAATGCCGCTACTTATACAGTTGGTTCTTTTATCCTTTTGTCCTCCGTTATAATAGCTGTCTGCTTGCGGTGCTGAGAAATTCCTTACTGTACTCCCTATTCTAGGCCAATTTTCACCATGTTTTTACTGTTCACAATTTAGAATTCTAAGTAGTCAAGTGTTAGATACTTTATTTAAACAAAACTGCTACTTTTGCATCAATTTTTATATTCTAATTTTTACAGAATTTTCTTTCTTGTTCACAATATTGAATTCTACGTAGTCACTGTTAAAGACTTTATTTAAACAAAACCGCTACTTTTGCAGTAACTTTTATATTCTAATTTTTACAGAATTTTCTTTCTTGTTCACAATATTGAATTTCAAAAAAAAAAACAAACTGATCTAATTATATCAGTATTCTTTCGATTAATATCATTAGTTTTCACAAAAAAAAACTTTTCGCCA